GGGCATGGGAGGAGGAGACCAGGGAACTAGAGAGAAGGAGGTCTTGTGAGGAGCGGAGTGTGTGTGTGTTGGGCGGTACTTGGATATTAGGTCGGTGATGTAGTTCGGGGCAGTATGGTGGACGGCTTTGTACATCAGTGTTAGGATTTTGAATTTGATCCGTTGGGCAATCGGAAGCCAGTGGAGGGATTGGCAGAGGGGGGGTGGAGGACACTGAGTGGAGGCCAGTGGAGGGATTGGCAGAGGGGGGTGGAGGACACTGAGTGGAGGCCAGTGGAGGGATTGGCAGAGGGGGGTGGAGGCCAGTGGAGGGATTGGCAGAGGGGGGTGGCGGAGATGGAGCAGTTGGAAAGGTGAATGAGTCTGGCAGCCGTATTCAGGATGGACTGAAGCGGGGATAGCCTGTGGTGAGGCAGGCCAGTGAGGAGGGAGTTGCAGTAGTCGAGTCGTGATATGATGAGGGAGCGGATGAGCTGTTTAGTGGTTTCTGGGGTTAGGAACGTGCGGATTTTGGCGATGTTGGAGGTGGAGTCTGCATGTTGCGGAGGTGGAGTCTGCATGTTGCGGAGGCGGAGTCTGCATGTTGCGGAGGTGGAGTCTGCATGTTGCGGAGGCGGAGTCTGCATGTTGCGGAGGTGGAGTCTGCACGAGTTTGTTAAAGAGTGGACTTGGGGCTGGAAGGATAGGTTGGAGTCCAAAATGACACCAAGTACTCTGGCCTGCAGGGCGGGTTTGATGGTGGCGTTGTTGGACGTGATGGAGAAATCAATGGGGGGGGGTGGGGTCCGGGCTGGGGGGGGGGGGAGACAAGAAACTCGGTTTTGGAGAGGTTCAGTTTAAGGAAGTGGAGTGACATCCAGTCTGATATGTCGCTCAACAGGTGTGTGATTCGGGCGGAGACCGAGGGGGTGAGGTGGGGGGTGGAGACCGAGGGGGTGAGGTGGGGGGTGGAGAGATAGATTTGTGTGTCGTCGGCATAGAGGTGATAGTTGAAGCTGTGAGAGTGTATGAGTTGGCCAAGGGAGGAGGTGTAGATGGAGAAGAGAAGGGGCCCGAGGACGGAGCCTTGAGGGACCCCAACAGAAAGGGGGAGTGAGAGGGAGGTGGTGGCATTATAGGTAATGCTGAAAGAGCATTGTGATAGGTAGGATGAGAGCCAGGAGAGGGCGGAGTCTCTGAGGCCGAGGGAGTGTAGTTTAGTAAGGAGGAGGGGGTGGTGGACTGTGTGGAAGGCCGCAGAGAGGTCAAGGAGTAGGAGCACTGAATAGTGGCCATTAGCTTTGGCGGTTAGCAGGTCGTTGGAGAGTTTGAGTAAGGCAGTTTCGGTGGAGTGTAGGGGGGTGTCGGTGGAGTGTAGGGCGGTTTCGGTGGAGTGTAGGGCGGTTTCGGTGGAGTGTAGGTGGTTTCGGTGGAGTGTAGGGGGGTGTCGGTGGAGTGTAGGGCGGTTCGGTGGAGTGTGGGGCTGGGTGTCGGTGGAGTGTAGGGCGGGTTCGGTGGAGTGTAGGGCGGTTTCGGTGGAGTGTAGGGCAGTTTCGGTGGAGTGTAGGGCGGTGTCGGTGGAGTGTAGGGTGGTTTCGGTGGAGTGTAGGGTGGTTTCGGTGGAGTGTAGGGGGGTGTCGGTGGAGTGTAGGGCGGTTTCGGTGGAGTGTAGGGCGGTTTCGGTGGAGTGTAGGTGGTTTCGGTGGAGTGTAGGGGGGTGTCGGTGGAGTGTAGGGCGGTTCGGTGGAGTGTGGGGCGGTGTCGGTGGAGTGTAGGGCGGGTTCGGTGGAGTGTAGGGCGGTTTCGGTGGAGTGTAGGGCGGTTTCGGTGGAGTGTAGGGGACGGAAGCCGGACTGTAGGGGATCGAGGAGGTGGTTGTCGTTGAGGTGAGAGCTCAGGCGGGTGTAGACGAGGCACTCGAGGAGTTTGGATGTAAGTGGGAGCAGGGAGATGGGTCTGAGGTTGTTCGGGTCATTGGGGTCCAGGGGGGGCCTCCTCCAGTATGGGGGTGATGTGTGTTTCAGAGGGGGGGGGAAAGTGCCGGAGGAGAGGGAGAGATTGAAGATGTGTTACATACAAACTTCCTATAGTAACCGGCTGTCCCCAGGAATGACATGACCTGTTTCTTGGTTTGTGGGGTAGGCCAGACCAGGATGGCCTCCACCTTCCCTGTCTCGGGCCTCAGGGTTCCTCCTCCTACCTGGTGTCCCAAATACTGGACAGCCGTCATGCCTATCTAACACCTTCTGGGTTTGACGGTCAGATTGGCGGCTGTCAGTTTGTCCAGAACCTGTGACAGATGCACCAGATGTTCTTCCCAGGTGGGGCTGAACACGGCGATGTCGTCCAGGTAGGGTTCCATGACCCTCTGGAAGGTGGCTGGGGCATTCTTCATCCCAAAGGGCATGACCGTGAATTCGAACAAGCCGAATGGGGTGATGAAGGCCGACTTTTCCCGGGCCTCAGGCGCCAGAGGAATTGGCCAGTACCCCCTGCTCAGATCCATGACTGTGAGATAGCGGGCAGCCACCAGCCGACCCAACAATTCATCGATCCGGGGCATGGGGTCGGCGTCTGCGAAGGTGATGGCCTTCAGGCTCTGCGTGGACTACCAGAACTTGATCGTCTGATCCTTTTTGGGGACCAGGACTAGCAGGGATGCCCAGGCACTGTGGGACTTCTGAATCACCCCCAGCTGCAGCATTTTCTCAACCTCCCTTCTCATATCAGCCAGGACCTCCAGAGAGGCCGACTGTTTGATGGGGGGACCTTGTGGACAGCGAGGTGTGTCCTCCCAGGTTTCCCAATAAACCTGCCCCCATATACTGCCAGCACTCCCTTCAGCCCAGGTACCTGAGTGGGGGTAAGGTGGGGGTTGATTGGGAGGTCTGAGCCCACCTCCCTGGTGTCAGCTAGCAGGCACCCGACCCCTAATATGTGACGCAACGCGGCACCCGTCCCTTAATATGTGACGCAACACACCGCCCCAACCCCTAATATGTGACGCAACGCGGCGTCTGACCCCTAATATGTGACGCAACGCGGCACCCGACCCCTAATATGTGACGCAACGCGGCACCCATCCCTTAATATGTGACGCAACACACCGCCCCAACCCCTAATATGTGACGCAACGCGGCGTCTGACCCCTAATATGTGACGCAACGCGGCACCCGACCCCTAATATGTGACGCAACGCGGCACCCATCCCTTAATATGTGACGCAACACACCGCCCCAACCCCTAATATGTGACGCAACGCGGCGTCTGACCCCTAATATGTGACGCAACGCAACACCCGACCCCTAATATGTGACGCAACGCGGCACCCGTCCCTTAATATGTGATGCAACACACCGCCCCAACCCCTAATATGTGACGCAACGCGGCGTCTGACCCCTAATATGTGACGCAACGCAGCACCCGACCCCTAATATGTGACGCAACGCGGCACCCGACCCCTATGTGACGCAACGCGGCACCTGACCCCTAATATGTGACGCAACGCGGCGTCTGACCCCTAATATGTGACGCAACGCAACACCCGACCCCTAATATGTGACGCAACGCGGCACCCGACTCCTATGTGACGCAACGCGGCACCTGACCCCTAATATGTGATGCAACACGGCGCCCGACCCCTAATATGTGACGCAACACGGCACCCGACCCCTAATATGTGACGCAACACGGCACCCGACCCCTAATATGTGACGCAACGCGGCACCCGACCCCTAATATGTGATAGAACGCAACACCCGACCCCCTAATATGTGACGGAACGCAGCACCCGACCCCCTAATATGTGATGCAACACGGCACCCGACCCCTAATATGTGATGCAAAACACGGCACCCGACCCCTAATATGTGACAGAGCACATCATCCAAACCCTAATATGTGACGCAACGCGGCACCCGACCCCTAATATGTGATGGAACGCGGCACCCGACCCCCTAATATGTGACGGAACGCGGCACCCGACCCCTAATATGTGATGCAACACGGCACCCGACCCCTAATATGTGACGGAACGCGGCACCCGACCCCTAATATGTGACAGAGCACATCATCCAAACCCTAATATGTGACGCAACGCGGCACCCGACCCCTAATATGTGATGCAACACGGCACCCGACCCCTAATATGTGACGGAACGCGGCACCCGACCCCTAATATGTGACGCAACACGGCACCCGACCCCCCCTAATATGTGACGCAACACGGCACCCGACCCCTAATATGTGATGCAACACGGCACCCGACCCCTAATATGTGACGGAACGCGGCACCCGACCCCTAATATGTGATGCAACACGGCACCCGACCTCTAATATGTGACGGAACGCGGCACCCGACCCCTAATATGTGATGCAACACGGCACCCGACCCCTAATATGTGACGCAACACGGCACCAATAAGTGATGGAATGTGGCGTCCGACCCGATATATGACGGAACGCGGCACCCGACCCCTAATATGTGACGGAACGCGGCACCCGACCCCGCCCTTCTCACCAACTCGTGACCAAAGAACCAGCCGATCTCACACCTCACTATCACTTGCATAACAATGCCGCTCTCAGCTGCACCCGGCACAAAGATTTTCCAGCTCGCAGGACCCCAATCTATGTGCAGCAGCCTGAGAGCGATTGTCACCAGGTCAGGATAATTACATCATCACCCTTCACACTGACATCACCGACTTCTAAGAAGGAGGAAACCCACCAATCCCAGCAATGACACCGAACTCAGCATCAACGTCTGACACCCACTGTCACCACAGACCGGAAATACAGAGGATTATATATACGGGAACACTCTTCCAGGGACGGGGATATCAGAGGGTTACATACAGGAACACTCTTCCAGGGACGGGGATATCAGAGGATTATATATACAGGAACACTCTTCCAGGGACGGGGATATCAGAGGATTATATATACAGGAACACTCTTCCAGGGACGGGGATATCAGAGGGTTACATACAGGAACACTCTTCCAGGGACGGGGATATCAGAGGATTATATATACAGGAACACTCTTCCAGGGACGGGGATATCAGAGGATTATATATACAGGAACACTCTTCCAGGGATGGGGATATCAGAGGATTTATATACAGGAACACTCTTCCAGGGACGGGGATATCAGAGGATTATATATACAGGAACACTCTTCCAGGGACGGGGATATCAGAGGGTTACATAAGGGAACACTCTTCCAGGGACGGGGATATCAGAGGATTATATATACAGGAACACTCTTCCAGGGACGGGGATATCAGAGGGTTACATACAGGAACACTCTTCCAGGGACGTTGATATCGGAGGATTATATATACAGGAACACTCTTCCAGGGACGGGGATATCAGAGGGTTATATACAGGAACACTCTTCCAGGGACGGGGATATCAGAGGATTATATATACAGGAACACTCTTCCAGGGACGGAGATATCAGAGGTTACATACAGGAACACTCTTCCAGGGACGGGGATATCAGAGGATTATATATACAGGAACACTCTTCCAGGGACGGGGATATCAGAGGGTTACATACAGGAACACTCTTCCAGGGACGTTGATATCGGAGGATTATATATACAGGAACACTCTTCCAGGGACGGGGATATCAGAGGATTATATATACAGGAACACTCTTCCAGGGACGGGGATATCAGAGGATTATATATACAGGAACACTCTTCCAGGGACAGGGATATCAGAGGATTTATATTATATCCAGGGACAGGAACAGGACACTCTTCCAGGGACGGGGATATCAGAGGATTATATACAGGAACACTCTTCCAGGGACGGGGATATCAGAGGATTATATATACAGGAACACTCTTCCAGGGACGGGGATATCAGAGGATTATATATACAGGAACACTCTTCCAGGGACGGGGATATCAGAGGATTATTATATACAGGAACACTCTTCCAGGGACGGGGATATCAGAGGATTATATATACAGGAACACTCTTCCAGGGACGGGGATATCAGAGGATTATATATACAGGAACACTCTTCCAGGGACGGGGATATCAGAGGATTATATATACAGGAACACTCTTCCAGGGACAGGGATATCAGAGGATTATATACAGGGACACTCTTCCAGGGACAGGGATATCAGAGGATATATATACAGGAACACTCTTCCAGGGACGGGGATATCAGAGGATTATATACAGGAACACTCTTCCAGGGACGGGGATATCAGAGGATTCCAGGGACGGGGATATATATACAGGAACACTCTTCCAGGGACGGGGATATCAGAGGATTATATATACAGGAACACTCTTCCAGGGACGGGGATATCAGAGGATTATATATACAGGAACACTCTTCCAGGGACGGGGATATCAGAGGATATTATATACAGGAACAATCTTCCAGGGACGGGGATATCAGAGGATTATATATACAGGAACACTCTTCCAGGGACGGGGATATCAGAGGATTATATACAGGAACACTCTTCCAGGGACGGGGATATCAGAGGATTATATACAGGAACACTCTTCCAGGGACGGGGATATCAGAGGATTATATACAGGAACACTCTTCCAGGGACGGGGATATCAGAGGATTATATACAGGAACACTCTTCCAGGGACGGGGATATCAGAGGATTATATATACGGGAACACTCTTCCAGGGACGGGGATATCGGAGGATTATATATACAGGAACACTCTTCCAGGGACGGGGATATCGGAGGATTATATATACAGGAACACTCTTCCAGGGACAGGGATATCAGAGGATTATATATACAGGAACACTCTTCCAGGGACGGGGATATCAGAGGATTATATATACAGGAACACTCTTCCAGGGACGGGGATATCAGAGGATTATATATACAGGAACACTCTTCCAGGGATGGGGATATCAGAGGATTATATATACAGGAACACTCATCCAGGGACGGGGATATCAGAGGATTATATATACAGGAACACTCTTCCAGGGACGGGGATTCGTTAATTTGCATTAAAGGTTCTAACACTTTTCAGAATCTGATTTATTAATGAAAAGGCCAAATGTTGCAATTAAATATTTACAGAAAAGATGTTACAAAGACACAAAGAGAACAATAAAGCAACAGAGGAATGAAAGGCGGTGAAGATGGAGAATACTTGCCTGGTCCTGGGTCAGCCGACTCCAATTGTTCGAGCAAAAATATTTCCTTGGCCCTCAGGTCCGTTAGATGTTAAAGGAGCGCTCCTTACTAGGTCCGGTCAGTCCCTTTTCTGTGATATCAAAGGGGTGTGGCCAGAGAACAACTGACCAATCATCCAGGTTAGGGGCGGGGTGCTGGAGGTCACCAAGTTTCTGACCGAGTCCCAACTGCAACTTCATGCTGATATTAATAACCTCCAATACATGCAGGCGGGATTCCAGCAACCGGCAGATTAATACTCAGAATTATATTCCGAACCCAGGGATACCAAACATGGCGCACTGGAGGGAGGAGACGGCTTTCTCCCCATTCTAACATGGTAACATAGTCATGTAGGACCTTGATTTGTTTGGTATGATATTCCCCATTCACATATCTCCCTAATATGAATGTGTCCTGTTCCTGGTGGATGCTATGACTTGTATGTGGAATTGTTACATGTGGAATGGACATTTTATGGCACGCTCTGCATTCCTAGAGCTCTAATGGTCTCACAGGTCATGTATGATGGCTGGACTGAGATATTATGAATTTACGATAGGGCAGAGGAAAGTGTTTTCTATGGTTCCTGGAAACAGACATCCTGCCAAGACTAATTTGCTGTTTACAGCCCTGACCAGGTCTGGACTCTGGCGTCTATTTGTGTTTTAGTGGAGATAAGAGGCTCTTCTGAAGTTTGTTAAATCTTACATCTACAAATTCCATAGTTTTCAGGAGGGGGGAGGGTGGGGGAAGGTCACTGCTGATGGAAAAAAAGAATTGGTTGAAACCTTAACAAGATGGCTGCCTACAGCTTCCATGTCCCATTACAGGGGGTGCTATACTCTGCAGAAGAGGGGGAATACCCAGGTAGGTGTGTGATACTCTGCAGCAGAGGGGAATACTCGGGTGGGGGTGCGATACTCTGCAAGAGAGGGGGAATTCTCAGGTGGGGGTGCTTTAGTCTGCAGGAGAGGGGGATACTCAGGTGGGGGTATGATACTCTGCAAGAGAGGGGGAATACTCAGGTGGGGGTGTTATACTCTGCAGGAGAGGGGAATACTCAGGTGGGGGTGTTATACTCTGCAGGAGAGGGGAATACTCAGGTGGGGGTGTTATACTCTGCAGGAGAGGGGAATACTCAGGTGGGGGTGTGATACTCTGCAAGACGGGGAATACTCAGGTGGGGGTGCGATACTCTGCAAGAGAGGGGGAATACTCAGGTGGGGGTGCTATACTCTGCAGGAGAGGGGAATACTCAGGTGGGGGTGCGATACTCTGCAAGACGGGGAATACTCAGGTGGGGGTGCGATACTCTGCAAGAGGGGGAATACTCAGGTGGGGGTGCGATACTCTGCAGGAGAGGGGGAATACTCAGGAGGGGGTGCTGTACTCTGCAAGAGAGAGGAATACTCAGGTGGGGGTGCGATACTCTGCAGAAGAGAGGGATACTCAGATGGGGGTGCGATACTCTGCAGAAGAGAGGGATACTCAGATGGGGGTGCGATACTCTGCAAGAGAGGGGGAATACTCAGGTGGGGGGGTGCGATACTCTGCAAGAGAGGTGGAATACTCAGGTGGGGGTGCGATACTCTGCAGGAGAGGGGGAATACTCAGGAGGGGGTGCTATACTCTGCAGGAGAGGGGGAATACTCAGGAGGGGGTGCGATACTCTGCAGAAGAGGGGGAATACTCAGGAGGGGGTGCTATACTCTGCAGGAGAGGGGGAATACTCAGGAGGGGGTGCGATACTCTGCAGAAGAGGGGGAATACTCAGGAGGGGGTGCTATACTCTGCAGAAGAGGGGGAATACTCAGGAGGGGGTGCTATACTCTGCAGGAGAGGGGGAATACTCAGGAGGGGGTGTGATACTCTGCAGGAGAGGGGGAATACTCAGGAGGGGGTGCTATACTCTGCAGGAGAGGGGGAATACTCAGGAGGGGGTGTGATACTCTGCAGGAGAGGGGGAATACTCAGGAGGGGGTGCTATACTCTGCAGGAGAGGGGGAATACTCAGGAGGGGGTGCTATACTCTGCAGGAGAGGGGGAATACTCAGGTGGGGGTGCGATACTCTGCAGGAGAGGGGGAATACTCAGGTGGGGGTGCGATACTCTGCAGGAGAGGGGGAATACTCAGGAGGGGGTGCTATACTCTGCAGGAGAGGGGGAATACTCAGGAGGGGGTGCTATACTCTGCAGGAGAGGGGGAATACTCAGGTGGGGGTGCGATACTCTGCAGTAGTGTAAACGCTCTGCAGTGGGCGATGGGGGGGGGGTAATATCTCTGAGGACTCTGCTGGTTTGCAGATAGTTATCGGGTTTCTGTCTGTCTCGGTTTATGAGGTGAGGGATGAAGTGATGGAAGATGGGGCCCCGGTCACACACAGCAGACGGGGGGGCCCCGGTCACACACAGCAGATGGGGGGGGGGGGGGCCCGGTCACACACACACAGCAGACGGGGGGGGCCCCGGTCACACACAGCAGACAGGGGGGCCCCGGTCACACACAGCAGATGGGGGGGCCCCGGTCACACACAGCAGACGGGGGGGCCCCGGTCACACACAGCAGACGGAGGGGCCCCGGTCACACACAGCAGATGGGGGGGCCCCGGTCACACACAGCAGACGGAGGGGCCCTGGTCACACACAGCAGACGGGGGGGCCCCGGTCACACACAGCAGATGGGGGGGGCCCGGTCACACACAGCAGACGGGGGGGCCCCGGTCACACACAGCAGATGGGAGGGCCCTGGTCACACACAGCAGATGGGGGGGGGGCCGGTCACACACCGCAGATGGAGGGGCCCCGGTCACACACAGCAGACAGAGGGGCCCCAGTCACACACAGCAGACAGAGGGGCCCGGTCACACACAGCAGACGGAGGGGCCCCGGTCACGCACAGCAGACGGAGGGGCCCGGTCACACACAGCAGATGGAGGGGCCCCGGTCACATACAGCAGACGGAGGGGCCCCGGTCACACACAGCAGACGGAGGGGCCCCGGTCACACACAGCAGACGGAGGGGCCCCGGTCACACACAGCAGATGGAGGGGCCCCGGTCACATACAGCAGACGGAGGGGCCCCGGTCACACACAGACAGGGGCCCCGCTCACACAGCGGATCACTTTCCACACCACACAACCTTCCATTGTACAATCAGCGCTCGCCCCCATCCCCCGCCCACTGACTGCATTCCACCAACCTGAGCCGGACACACACCATCCAATCAGATCTGCCAACCACTGCATGATAGAATGTCAGTCTGACTGTATGATCCCCGAATCCTACAGAGAAAATGTATGTCAGGTCAGTCACAGGTAAGTAGGCACACCCAGGTATATAGAGACAGTCACAGGTAAGTAGGGGCTCCCACAGGTATATAGAGACAGTCACAGGTAAGTAGGGGCTCCCACAGGTATATAGACACAGTCACAGGTAAGTAGGCACACCCAGGTATATAGAGACAGTCACAGGTAAGTAGGCACACCCAGGTATATAGACACAGTCACAGGTAAGTAGGGGCTCCCACAGGTATATAGA